GCCGAGCAAAGAGCCCGATGCGGGACTCGATCCAGGGACTCCAGGATCATGACCTGAGCCGAAGGCAGATGCTTAACCAACTGAGCCACCCAGGCGCCCACAAATCAACCATTTTAGAAACTTAGAAATAAGTGCCTATCTAAAAGGCAAAACATTATTAAGAACATTTTCATTTAAATGAACTTTTGGGGGCACCTGGGTGGCTCAGCCGGCTAAGTGACTAAGCATCTGCCTTCAGCTCAGGTCATGGTCCTAGGGTCCTGGGATTGAGCCCCACATCAGGCTACCCGCTCAACGGGGAGTCTGCTTCTCCTTCTCTCTGTAACCCTCCCCTTGCTTGTGCTCCCTCACTCTTTCTCAAATGAATAAATTTTTAAAAATAAAATAAAATAAATGAACTTTCAGGGCACCTGGCTCGTTCAGCTGGTGGAGCGTGCAACTCTTGATCTAGGGGTTGTGGGTTCGAGCCCCACATTGGGTGAAGAGATTACTTAAAAATAAAATCACTAAAAAAACCTGAACTTTAACTTCAATCATACTCAAACTGGATATAAATGAGTCAACAACAACAAACATCCGCTAGACTTAATTTTTTAGACAATTTTATTTTATAAAAAGTGATAAAAAAACTTTAATCATATATCTAAAATGTGTATATATATATATACCATGGTTTCCAAAGATAGTTCCCACAACTATGTCTGCCAACTACTCTAAGTTCGCTCATTTTCCATCTTATTTTGAGACAAGACAATAATGCTCTATACTTAACTAATGGTAAAATAGTTATTTACTTGCTCATGGATTAACAAATTTATTGCTCCTTGGTAAATTTCAACAGATAATACCCATATATGACAAAAACTAGTCAGTTACATGACATTCCAATGCCTTCAATAAGAAAGAGCAACACCTGAACAACTCCTAAAGATCTTATAATAAACCCCTTGACCAAATCCTCATTTTTTTATTCAAAAAATTTTTTTTTAAAGATTTTATTTATTTGACAGAGAGAGACACAGCGAGAGAGGGAACACAAGCAGGGGGAGTGGGAGAGGGAGAAGCAGGCTTCCCACCGAGCAGGGAGCCCGATGCGGGGGCTCGATTCCAGGACTCTGGGATCACGACCTGAGCCGAAGGCAGACGCTTAATGACTGAGCCACCCAGGCACCCCTTTGCATTCAAATATTTAATGAATATCTACTATGTGCCAACTTCCATGCTTAAGCCCAAATCCTGAATTAATCTAAAAATATATATATATAAATTACCCCCCTCAAAAGGTAAAAGGTGTTAATGGTATACAACAATGATCACAAAAAATGGGAAAAAAATAAGGGGAGCTGTAGGATTGTCCCAGCTTACTGCTTCCTGCCTAGAAAACTTATAGGAGGCAATGCAGAGAGAAAAGCAGAGCCCAGCAGTCTCCCTGAGCTGAGAAGCCAGACTTGAAACTTCAGGGAGATCAAGACAACTAGAATTTGCAGGACAGAGTACTGCAGAGTGCATGGAGAGGAGAGAGATGTGCAGAAAGAGACTAAAGAGATCAGTGCATACATAACAGTAAATTACCCAAGGCCAAGGAAAAAAACACCTGGAAAGAGCAGGAGACATAATCCCTGCAGCTCATACAAGGCCAGGAATAGTTCATGTTCCTGTGACCCAAAATTGGAAAACTGGGTAATACATGGAGCACTGGGGAAGATGAAAGAGGAGGATATTAGGCCTAAATTAAAGGCTGGTCTTGTTCTACCTAACAAAGCTTAAAGCAAACCTCAAAAGAATCAAATTGTTTCTCAGTAACTTAAGTGTGTCCTAGAACAAAGTTCAAGAATGTTTGAAGGGGGGTGCCTGGGTGGCTCAGTTGGTTGAGCGACTGCCTTACGGCTCAGGTCATGATCCTGGAGTCCCAGGATGGCGTCCCGAGTCAGGCTCCCTGCTCAGTGGGGAGTCTGCTTCTCCCTCTGACCCAACCCCTTCTCGTGCTCTCTCTCTCTCTCAAATGAAAAAAAAAAAATCTTAAAAAAAAAAAAAGAATGTTTGAAGGAATACAAAAATAACCAGTACCCAACAAGGTAAAATGCACAATGCCCAGCCTCCAAAAAGAAATCATCATGCAGGCAAAGAAGCAGGATATGCTACCCATAATGAGGAAAAAATTCAATTCACAGAAATAGACCCAGAAATGATACAGATGATAGAACAGGCAATGCCATTAACCAGTTTTTTGTTTTTTTTTAAGATTTTATTTATTTATTTGCTAGAGAGAGCGTGGGTGAGAGAGAATGAGCAAGAGCACAAGCAGGGGGAGCTGCAGGCAGAGGGAGAAGCAGGCTCCCTGCTGAGCAAGAAGCCCGATGCGGGACTCGATCCCAGAGCCCTGGGATCTTGACCTGAGCCAAAGGGAGCCGCTTAACTGACTGAGCCACCCAGGCATCCCCATTAACCAGTTATTATAACATCTTCCACACCTTCAGAAGGGAGAGGAAAATATAAGTTTACAGAGTACTTAAAAATATTTGAATAATGGCTGAAATTTTTCCAAATTTCATGAAAATTCTAAACCCACAGATCCAAGAAACTCGATGAATCCTGAGCAAAAGATGCGTATTTTTTTTAAAAACCTACACGAAGACATACCATAATCGAATTATTTAAAAGCTGTAATAAAATCATAAAAGCACCAAAAGAAGACACATTAAGTATGAAGAAGCAAAGAAAGAAGTGACTGCAGACTTCCTGTCAGAAACAGTGTCAGCCAAAAAGACAGTGGAGCAAATCTATACCCAGCAAAAATATCTCAAGAATAAAGACCAGGGGCGCCTGGGTGGCTCAGTTGGTTAAGCGACTGCCTTCGGCTCAGGTCATGATCCTGGAGTCCCAGGATCGAGTCCCGCATCGGGCTCCCTGCTCGGCAGGGAGTCTGCTTCTCCCTCTGACCCTCCCCCCTCTCATGCTCTCTCTATCTCATTCTCTCTCTCAAATAAATAAATAAAATCTTTAAAAAAAAAAAAAGAATAAGGGGGCGCCTGGGTGGCTTAGTTGGTTAAGCAACTGCCTTCAGCTCAGGTCATGATCCCAGAGTCCTGGGATCGAGTCCCACATCTGGCTCCCAGCTCAGCAGGAAGCCTGCTTCTCCCTCTGACCCTCTCCCCTCTCATGCTGTTTCTCTCTCTCTCAAACAAATAAATAAAATCTTTAAAAAAAAAAAAAAGGACAAAATAATGACTTTTTCAGACATTCAGGAGCTTGAAGAATTCCTTACCAGCAGACCTATACTACAAGAAATGTTAAAAGAAGCCCTTAAGGCAGAAGGAAATCTGGATCTACACAAAAGAATGCAGAGTCAAGGGGCATCTGGGTAGCTCAGTCAGTTAAGCATCTGCCTTTGGCTCTGGTCATGATCCTGGCGTTCCAGGATCAAGCCCCACATTGAGCTCCCTGCTCAGCAGAAAGCTTGCTTCTCCCTCTCCCTCTGCTGCTCCCCCTGCTTGTGAGCGCATGCTCTCGCTCTCACTGTCAAATAAATAAAATCTTAATTAAAAAAAAAAAAGAATGAAGAGTCAAGATGGCAAATATGGTAAATGGTACATATGTGGGTAAATGTGAAATATTCCTTTCTCTTATTGTTTAAATCTCTTTAAAGATAATTAACCTTTTAAAGAAAAAATAAAAATAATGAATTACAGAATTTATAACATAAGTAGAAGTAAAATATGTAACAACAGTACAAAGGCCAGTTGAGAGAAAATGGGAGAATACTGTTGTAAGGTTTGGTGGTTTCTGTTTGTGTTTTTTTTAAGATTGATTTATTTATTTATTTTAAGAGAGAGAACGAGCAGGGGGAAGGGCAGAGGAAGAGAATCCTTCAAGCGGACTCCCTGCTGAACAAGGAGCCCGACCGGGGGCTGGATCCCACAACCCAAGAGATCATGACCTAAACTGAAACCAAGAGGCCGACGCTCAACCGACTGAGCCACCCTCAACCTAATGAGCCACCCAGGCGCCCTTGTTGTAAGGTTTTTATACTATACACAAAAAGAAATAATACCACTTGAAGGTAAATTGTGAAGTTAGACTTGCATGCTATAAACCGTAAAGCAAGCACCTAAAAAGAAATTATAACTTATAAGCCAATAAAGGAAATAAAACAGAATAAGAGAAAAAGTATCATCTATAGAGTAGTGGTTTTCAGGTTTTCAAATACCACAACAAATTAAAAATTACACAATGAACAAAGGGACTAACATAGGGATGTTAACTCTATTTTGCCAAGTAAAAACTTATGAATAAATAAACTATTATTTTACTACCACCATTAATTCACAAAGAATGGGCATTTTAAAATTATAGAAGCAGGAAGACCAATCACCAAATAATGTATCATTATCAAACACTCCCTCCTCTCATTTTTTTCTCACTTTACCATGGAAATTGGTCTGAGGACTTGAAAGAAAGCCTTTGGGAATCACTGCTCTAATGTATTATGACTCTGCCTTCATATACAAGCACCATCAGACTGCTGATGAGGCGTCTGGGTTGCTTAGTCGTTAGGCATCTGCCTTTGGCTCAGGTCATGATCCCAGAGTCCTGGGATCAAGCCCCAAGTCGAGCTCCCGCGAGCTCCCTGCTTGGTGGGAAGCCTGCTTCTCCCTCTCCCACTCCCCTTGCCTATGTTTCCTCTCTCGCTGTCTCACTCTCTGTCAAATAAATAAAATCTTTAAAAAATAAAAATAAATAAAAAAGAAAAAAAGACTGCTGATGTCTCTAAAGAAGTTTCTTAAATAAATAGAACACAAAGTGGTGTAGAGGATCTTCACCAGGTTCAATTAAAGACTACATTATGGAAATAAGTTCTCTTCTTAATACAGATATCAAACCCAGAAACATTCCTAGCAATTTCATAAGGCACAGAGTGGTCATTCCACATGCCAGGCAACTCAAGATCATCAACACAATTTAAATGTACCACAAAAATGTCAACCTGCCTGGCTTTAACACATGGCCCTCCACTTACTTCCTGATGACCTTACACAAATTACTCAATTTCTCCGAGCTTTACAGGACTGAAGAGACATGCAAATTACTTAGCAGTGTACCTGGCACACAGTAAAAGTAAAGAAATACTAGCAGCTGTTACTATTATTACTCTGCTTGGAAATACTCCTTCCCACATTTATCTAAGCTTAATCACTGGCAATGTCTCCGCCCTTTGTCCCCCCATAAAACACACACATCTCCCAGACACCTCTATTTTCCTAACATATCCCACCCAGCTTTGGCTAATTCATTTGTCCTAGCATTTATTCATTCATTTACAAAACAACTTCTACTTTTAAACAACCTCCTAGCACTTATATGAAAAAGCTCTAAGAAAATATATCTTCTTTTGTATGTTTTTCACATATGTTCTTTGAATTCAGACTTAACTGTGTAAGGCAAAAACAATGTCTATTACGTGTGTTATAGATTCCAATGGCATCTACTACTGAACGCAAAATCAACATTTATTAAATATTGACTCAACCAGCACACTATTCTGTTACAAAGACAATGGGTGTAATTTTAATGTGCAGTTTTTCCAAAACATATCCCAACAGATTCATTAATACCCACCAAGCAAAACGACTGTCTCCATTAGTAATGCATGTTTGTTTCTATCACTTTCAGAAGTTCAACCTCTTGACTCAAAACTAATTTGAATGTCTGTATACCACGAAGTATTAGTACCGCTAATAAAACAGGCTACCCATAATTTGATACTATTTAGTTCATGCCGATAAAGTTTTCCCTTGTGCAAAGCAACCTAGTAAAAATGGATCCCAAGTTTTCTCCAGCTCGTAAGAGACGTTCAGATACGCATAAGAACCGGGCGACTTACCTCGACATTGTCTGTAAGACCGTACTCAGAGTGAGGGTTTTCTGCAACCTAGAAAACAAAACACAGGTCACTGAGACGTGAGCCACCCCTTCCTGCTACACACCGCCACCCTGAAGCCAGGGCCTCCTGGTACCTGCGTCTGTCCCTCCAGCATCTGCTCTGGCTCCATGGCGGACCCTGCAAGTCACAATCCCCGGAAACCAGTCTTGGAAAACAAGAAGAACCGTGAGTTAACCGGGAGATTTCAACATGAAGATGCCAGGATGGAGTCCAGCCCAGCCCCCGACCCCGCCCCTCACCCCCACCTGGGCGCGGGAGCACCCGGAGCAGTAGAGGAGCAAGGTGGGACAGTCCAAGACAGGGCGCCCGCATCAGGTCCGGAAGCTCCGCAGTTGTCCCAAGAACCTAGAAGAGGTGGGGAAGGGGGGAAAGGGAGCTGATTACCCGCGCCCAAGCCGCTGGTTCTTAAGAGCCCTGCACCGCGCCACCAACTCCCAGCACAAACCGCTTCGGCCGTAAGTGACGGATGTCGCACAACTGCCGCGCCTGCGCAGAACTCCTCAGTGGGTCTGGGGCGGGGAGGGGTTGGGACCCTGTCCTGAGTATGTACCACCCTGTGTGGTCAACAAAGTGTCCTGGCCGAAACCTGGCCCCGAAGGTTGCGGGAGACTAGTTCTTCAACCTGCCTACCCAAGGCAAGCGCCACCCCAACTGCAGACACAGTGACCACCGCAGCTGGCAGGGGTTCGGCCCGCGCAGCCCGCAGAGCTGCCTGAAACCTCCTGCGGAAGGTCTTCAGCGCGGAAGCGAAATCATCCATTTCGCTGGGTGATTCTTATTAAAAAATCAAACCTAATCTAAGCAGTCTACGAAAGAATGTCAGTGTTTTACTCTAAAAAGGTGGGGGAAGAAGAAATGTTGGGGATTTCACGGTAAGCTTTGATCATTCCTTAAATCTGTGAATATGCGATGTTAATGCTACCTTACATTTGTATCAAAGTTAGCAAAAAGCAACTGGCTTTCCAAAGTGTGATACTGTTGATACTATTGTATTTGTAAAAAACACAAAAGATAATTTGCCTCCTACGTACTATTCGTAAATAGCAAACAGGATTGTTCTAATTACAATAAATTCCATTTATTTTAATGTAAACACAGGCGATACATTCATTAAAGTTCCTACCTTTAATTCAACAATCCCATTTGTAGTAGCACTTTGTAATATGAAAATTTGAAAACTTAATATTAAATGTTTGGAGACTAAATATGTCATATCAATATAAGGGAATGTAAGCTATGAAAAGTCATGACTAGAAATACAGAAACATTTGTGATTATAACGTTAAGTTTTGAAAACGGTAGAATACAACTTCATTTTGCTACTCTGCAAAAACTGAGCGGATAAAGATCTAAAATAAATTTGTTGGGGCGCCTGGGTGGCTCAGTCGTGAAGTGTCTGCCTTCGGCTCAGGTCATGATCCTAGGGTCCTGGGATCAAGCCCCGCATCGCATTCGGCTCCCTGCTGAAGTGGGGAGCCTGCTTCTCTCTCCTGCTTCTCTCTCCCCACTCCTCCTGCTTGTGTTCCCTCTCTCTCTGTGTCTCTCTGTCAAATAAATAAATAAAACCTTTAAAAATTTTTATTTAGGAACTAGACTTGTGGGTACGTTTTTAAACTTTAATTTTGTAATGGATACTTGATTAGTACTGTAATTGATGACAGTTAACATATGGCACTTTGAGGATTTTTCATGTAGGACTGATGGAAAGATGTGGATGCATATGTACAAGATATAGAAAATTACTAGTACATATATTAACTCAAGATTAAATGCTTTTCAGGAGTGGGAAATAACAGCAAATAAGTTTAGAGAATAGTTGGGGAAACTTAAGAGAATAGTTACGTGCATTGCTATATTATCATATATTCATACATTTCCCAATACATCGTAGACACTCAAATATTTCCAAATCCAGAAAGTAACTGAGAGCTGCTAATTTATATTTTCTAAGTACTGACAGTTTCAGTAAAATGGGAAGCTAGACTGAGCTTCTTCAAGACAGGGACCTTGTCTTATTTAACTTAGTACTTCACACAGTGCCTAGTACATCATAAGGTTCACAACATATATGGATTTGATTCATAATCAAAACTGAATATAGATATATATGCTGACACTACTAAAGGCTATATATAATTTATGTATGTATGTGTGTGTAAGATACATACATATATGATTACCAAAGGGAGCAGCACAGAACAATTAACTATCAACCAGGTTTCTCTCAATCTAGAAAAGACTTATAAAAGTGGTTTACAAAAAAGCTTCACCAAATTTTTTACATTTACAACTTATTGAAAAATTCAGAGAACAAGCCATCACAGAAGAGAGATGGGAGGGGAAAAATGACAGCTAGAAATGATGTAAATGGATTAGCAAGAAAATGATAGGAAGTATAAGGTTAATTGAAGATACTGCAGAATGCTGAGTTCTTATACGAAATTAAAGATTCTGAAGAGGATGGGCCCTGGGAACTATGATTATGACAGAAATTTGCAATAATGTGTACTCTCTAGAGAGGGATAAATTAAAAGAATGAGAAGAACTCTTGTTTGGACTTGTCATACCAAACTTGGTTCAGGACTCCTCTCATCTGCTTCTATTATGTCTTTTTATTATAGCACTTACCTCATTCTGCCTTATATATTGTTTGCAGTTAAACACAATTAGATTTTTTAGTTCTTCAAAGGCAAAAATCTTATATTCATCTTCATATTTGCTTCTTATATTCAATAAATATTTTTTCAAAAGAAGGGAATTTATAGGGAAGGCAAGCACTTGCACCAAAGCACTACTCTAAACTGTCTTTCTTAGGGCTTTAGGGAGATAGTAGTTTATAGATTCTAGAACTAGGATTCTAGAACTAGAATTCTAGAATCTAGAATAATAAAGAAAAATTACTGTGCTTGACCCCCTTTTTATAGACTTGGTGCAAATTCCATTTATAAAACATTAAACTATTAGACAATACCTATTTAGCAATAATACAGTATATATAGTAAAGAAACACTTGATTTGGGATTAGATGAGTATTAGAACCTGGTTCCTTCACTGTTTACCATGTGGAAGTAAGCAAATAATTTAACTCTTCTGGGCTTCATGTTTTTTCACATATAGATTAGGATAACAATTCTTCATGAAGAGGATCAAATGAGATAAAATAGATGAAACTGCTTTGTGTGAAGCTATATGAATATAAGTGAGACATTCTATTTTATCTGTACCTAACTACTGCTTCGTTATCATAATAATCTACCTTTTTTGTTCCTATTCTTTTTTCTTTTAATTAATTTGTGAGAAAGTGCTCAAATAAAGAACATGATTCATCACACAGTTATACACAAACGTCTTTACAAAAGAATACATAGAATTTATTGAGTGTAAATGGGCCCTCTGAGAACAGTCTATGGGGAGGCACACCAGCCACCTCTGAAAAAGACCTAGAAATATATATTCCAGATTTGGTTAATCATTTTCCAAGGAAGTATCTTTTGGTGGCTGATATAAGAAAACAACTACTCTACCCATAGTTCCCTTGTCTCCACTACCAAACCCCAGGCCCAAGCACGCTTACCACTATCATCATCTCAGCAATGTTGGTATACCAAAGAACATGCCAAATGGGCTTTTTATTTTTTTTAAATTTTATTTATTCATCTAACAAAGAGAGACACAGCGAGAGAGGGAACACAAGCAGGGGGAGTGGGAGAGGGAGAAGCAGGCTTCCCGCGAAGCAGGGAGTCCAATGCGGGGCTCGATCCCAGGACCCCAAGACCACGACCAGAGCCGAAGGCAGACGCCTAACAACTGAGCCACCCAGGTGCCCCACCAAATGGGCTTTTTAAATGAATAGAGTGTGTTTGGATTTTTATGATACAGATGTGATCTTAGCAATGAGAGTAATAAAAAAGCTAAACTTACTACAATTCCAATCCCTAAATTGTCCCTTATTTCTTCCATTTCTCATAAGAGGTTGGTTATATTTAGATTTTTTTCAAAATTTCCTAAATGATTTTCAATTTCTAAAAGTGTTGATTTTAGGGACACCTGGCTGGCTCATTGGAAGAGTGTGTGACTCTTGATCTCGGGGTCATGAGATTGAGCCCCACATTGGATGTAGAGATTACTTAAAATCTTTAAAGAAAAAAGTGTTGATTATATGCTTTATGTTTTCTTTTTAGAATCCAAATAACTTAAATGTATGTTTATAAATAGGTCATGGGTAATAAGTAATAAGTATAATATATAACTTGGGTATCTTTTATTTTTTTTAAGATTTATATATTTATTCCAGAGAGAGAGAGTGCATACATGAGCCAGAGGAGGGGCAGAGGGAGAAGGAGCTGAGTAGACTCCCAGCTGAGCAGGGAGCCAGGCAGGAGGCTCAATCCCATGACCCCTGGATCATTGGACACTTAACCAACTGAGCCACCCAGGCACCCCTGATATCTTTTAATTTTAAGATACCCAGAGCCATTCCTGTTAATTTATGTTGAAACCATCTCTCTCTCTGTCTCTCTCTCTTTTTTTTTTTTTTTTTTGTAATCTCTACACCCAACAAGGGGCTAGAACTCAGGACCCCAAGATCAAGAATCACATACTCTACTGACTGAGCCAGCCAGACACCCTGAAACCTTTTCTTAAAGACAAATATCGGCACCAAAATAGAAATTGGTAGTTATGCCACCTAATTTTAATATCAGATTATTGTGTAAAGTGTTTTTCTTTATAGTATCATTATCAGAATGCATTGCTGATGTATTCATATATGAGAGAGTGCAGAACAAAAATTGAATTAGAAGCCCAACCAGGTTCAGGTACCTTGTGAAGTGATTTACATATTCTACCACATAATACTGTAATCCCCTTATAAGGTAGATATAATTATCCCCATAAAATAAGATGATAAAAATTGATTCAGAAAATTGTCAGGGCGCCTAGGTGGCTCAGTCAGTTAAGTATCCGACTCTTGATCTCAGCTCAGGTCTTGATCTTAGGGTCGTGAGTTCAAGCCCCAGGTTGGGCTCCACACTGGGCATGGAGCCCACTTAAAAAAAAAGAAAAGAAAATTGTAACATAATGTCACATACTTATATGGCTAGTTGAAAAAAAAATTTTTTTTAAGATTTTATTTGAGAGAGAGAGTGAGAGAGCACAAGCCAGGCGGAGAGGCAGAGGTAGAAGCAGGCTCCCCACTGAGCAGGGAGCCTGATGTGGGGCTCAATCTCAGGACCCTGGGATCATGACCTGAACCAAAGGCAGATGCTTAACCACCTGAGCCACCCAGGCACCCCATGGCTAGATGAAATTTCAACCCAGATCCACCTAATTCCAAAGGTTGTGCTCCTGGCTATGCATAAATAGAGGACAAATATATCAGTTAATATGCTTTGGGATTCCAGTAACAAATCCCAACTCCAGTTTGTTAAACAACAACTAAGACTTTTTGAGTAACAACTGAAAATCCCAGTAGTAAAGGGGGTATCTAACAAGGTTTAGTTGTGGCTTTTATACTGTTTCTCTACAGTTTTCTCACCTTCATCTCTATATATCAGCTTCATTCTCAGGCTGCTTTCTCATGGTGAAGAGATCATTGCTAGAAGTACTCAGGACAACATGCTTTCTTTTTCATATTCAGAGACAGAAAGCATCACTTCTCTTAGGTCTACCCATGTACCAAAAGTCTGAACTTTGCTTTGATCTGTCCATCTTGAATCAGTTATTTTGATAAGGTGGGTGTCATGTGTTGACTAGCACAGAGCTGAATGACTGCCCATTCCTGAACAATGACAAGGATGTGACCTGGTAGTAGTTGGTCCCACCCGAATTGTATGAACACCAGGTAATGGGAGAGGATTGGTTCTACAAGAGAAAACCTTAGAATGGGTCGGAAAGGGAAAGAAAGGGAATGGATGCTGAATAGTCCATCAAAAAATATTCACTGTTGGGGCGCCTAGGTGGCTCAGTCAGTTAAGTACCCAACTCTTGATTTCAGCACAGGTCATTATCTCATGGTTGTGAGATTGAGCCCCATGACTCAAGGGGCTTAGGATTCTCTCTCCTTCTCCCTCTGCCCCTCCCCATTCTCTCTCTTTCTCAAAAATAAATAAATAAATTCACTACTGCATGTTATGCAAAGAGTTTAATACAACTTATCATAAAAGGGATAAACTAAAACAGAATTTTCACTTTGACACAGCATTTCTACTTCTAGGACTTTATCCCATAGAAATACAAAAATGTATGAATAGAAGGAACTTATCATACCATAGTTTTTAGTAGGAAAATATTGGGAATAGGTTAAATTATGATATCTCAATACAATGGACTACTGTGTAACCACTGAAAAAAATTGAAAAAGATCTATAGATACTGGTATGAAAAACATTTGCTGCATAATTTTATGTGAAAAAATGCATGTTGTAGGAAAGTCTCTCTAGTAAGAATCTGTTTTTGCATGTATATATTTGTATGTGCATAGCAAAAAGCCTGGAGAGATATACAACAAAATATTAAGAGGGAAAATGTTGAGGGAAAGTCTTTGCTTTTTCCAAATTTGTGTATTGCTTGAACTTTTTTTCCCAAAAGTATGAATTTGCTTTAAAATAAAAAGGGTAGGGGCACCTGGGTGGCTCAGTCAGTTAAGCATCCAACTCTTGATTTCAGCTCAGGTCATGATCTCAGGGTAGTGGGATCGAGTCTCCTATTGGGCTCATGCTGGGCATGGAGCCTGCTTAAGATTCTCTCTCCCTTTCCCTCTCCCCTCCCCCCCCATCCCGTTTGCATGCTCTCAAGCCCTTAAATAAATGAATGAATGAATAAATAAATAATAAAATAAAATAAAAAGGGTAAAAATATTTAGTAAGTTTTCTGTAATTGGAAAATATGTAGTTTATTCTACATAACACATGCAGGATCGGGGAAGAATATTTATGTGAGTAATGAGTCTAATCAGTTGTATGATAGTATTAAAAGAAAAATCTTCCAGTTCACCCTCCCCTTCACCCAAGTATTTGTGGGTGGTGTGCAGAAAAGAGTTAACAGAGCAGCCTGAGACTGCTGTCCTTAGAAAGTCCTGCTTGCAAGGTTGGTTGGTATCTGGGAATTTGAATGATAAACAGTTCCCTACACAAATACGAAACTTTCCCTAAATGATGAGAGTGGCTTAAACTGTTTGTGCAAACACTATGGTTTCTTTTAAACACCTGCTTTCCTTCTAGGAGTTTGGAATTTTGGTATATCTTAGTCAGAGGGTGCCTACATGATCAGCCCCAGTAAAAACCCAAGCACTGAGTTTGTGATGAGAGTCGTGGTAGACAGTATTACACACATGTTGTCAGAACTCATTGCTGGAGGAATTAAACGTGTCCTGTGTGACTCTACTGAGAGAAGATTCTTGGAAGCTGGCGCTTAGTTTTCTCCAGACTTTGCCCCATGTGCCTTTTCCCTTTGCTAATTTTGCTTTGTATCCTTTTGCTGTAATAAATCATAGCTGTAAGTATGACTATATTCTGAGTCCTATGAGTCCTTCTAGCAAATCACCAAGAAGGTGATCTTGGGGATCTTAAACTCTCTCGGGGAATTTAAGATAAATATAAATTACAGTGCCTGCCCTCATAAAATATATTCTGGTTCATTTACTTTAGATATATATACATATATATGATACATTTAAATGACCGTATAATAGCTGATTAAAGGTTAAGTTGAATGATATAGAGCATAAATTCTGAAGAAGTTCAGATGAGGTTGAGATATATGTAAGTAGGGGTCTTTGGAGCAGTATTAACAAAGAATAAGTATTTAAGCAAAGCTGGGAGGAGTAGGAGGCCATAACACAGACTGAAACACTAACTAGGAGAGTAAATGGAGAAACTTAGGTATCCTTACCAGAATATAGGATTTGAGCTTACCTGACAAGGTGGAGAGGAGGATCTTAAGGATAAAGAAGGCTTTCTGAAACCACTGCAGTTGGTAGAAACCACTGTTGAAAACAGACAACTCCGTTTACGTGCCCCAACATTCACCTGGTGCTACCAGTTTCCATTACCCTGCTTTTCATGAATGCTAGAGTAACAATGCCCTGCCCACCATAAATATAGAAATGTAATACTATATTTCTATAACCAAGTACTTAGAGTGATGATTGAATATACCCTCTGAGAATCTGGACTGCTATTCTAGGGCATTCATTTCAAATTCTGTATTAACTGCTTCTTCTTCTGCCTCTACAGCATCATAGCTTTAAAATTCAAGTTGAGCAGGTTAGGTAACAATTATACTCTTACACCTACTACTGTTTCAAAACCATGAGCTCATTCACACTTTCACTAGGAACAAATCCTTTGGAAACGAGAGAATCTCAAACTGGTGTCTCAGTTTTGTTTTGGTTTGTTTGTTTTTAAATTTTGAACCAATATCTCCTCAGCCATAGATTCCATATAAAAATTCAAAATTCTGGTATCTCTTGAAACCAGTACGCCACACATTCTTGAAAGGCAAAAATCAGCTAGAGCTAAGTAACAGCCATCCCATTTAATAAGGGGATGCTACTCTCCAATTTTTCGTAATTTTTATCATTCATATCATACATACATTTTTGAATTCCACAGCCACGCCTGGAACTTCTATATGTTCTATGTCTCACCACTGTTGTTAGTTGCTACTTGAGTTTTTAAGCTCCTATATGACAATAAATCTGATTTTATTCCTTATTATAATCTTGGCACCTTACTCATTGCCTGGCATGCTGTCTGTGCTTTATACCTATTTGTTGAACAAATAAATGAATAATATGTACCACAATGTGGACTCAATAAAGAGAAATGATTAATTGCCCACAATTATGTTTTTGCTTAGTAACACAACTATAGGATAATAATCCCCCAATTGTTACTCTACTCCTCCCTTACCTCCAACCATGTCTTTCGTTTCTCTTTTGTTTTCTGCCTTTTTCAAAATCAGTAATCTCTTGGTTCTAAGTGTGCCATTTTATTTTACTTTTAATAAAAATAATATCTGTCATTGGTCCCTACTTCAAATAATCCAGCATTTCTCAAGCTGAAGGTTTGAGGAGTTCCTTAGAAGAGAAGTAGGGCTAAAATAGCCAAAAAAACTACCTGGTGATAGTCACTTGGTAAACAAATTAATGGGTTAAAGTGATAAGGTGACCAAATGTCCTGGATTAGTTAGCACAGTACTCAGCTCCTCTTTTTTGTCCTGGTGAAACTGGACCAGATTCCCTTTGAGATTAAGTGCCCCACAAGTTCTTACCATCTGAAAACTGGGAGGCCGTCACACTGTAGGTTAAATGACAGGTTAGGATCTTCAGTCCAGGCAACTAGAAGGCCAGGATCACGGCCAGGCACTATTTCTCTTGAGGCAGATTTAGGAAGAGGTCACTTCAGAAAATGGGTTTGCTTGGGACATAATTCCAAGAGGCAGGAGATGTGGATTGAGATGACTCAAAATTGAAATCCCAGGAAAGTCTGATTTCTGGAACAACACTGTAGGTATAAAAGAAACAAAATTTATCAAGGTGTCTTATATCTCAGGTATTATGCTGGAGGTTTTAAGTGAATTCTTTCATTTTGAAATTTAATTCTTGGGGTGCCTGGGTGGCTCAGTCATTAAGTGTCTGCCTTTGGCCCAGGTCATGATCCTGGGGTCCTGGGATCGAGCCCCGCATCAGGCTCCCTGCTCAACGGGAAGCCTGCTTCTGTCTCTCCCACTCTCCCTGCTGTGTTCCCTCTCTCGCTGTCTCTCTCTCTGTCAAATAAATAAATAAATAAAATCTTAAAAAAAAAAAAGAAATTTAATTCTTATTCCACCCATTTTACAGAGGAATTAACTGGTTAGAAAACTTGTTCCATATTATACAGCTAATAACTGGCAGAACCAGAATACCAAACCCGTCTTTCTGACTCTCAATCCCATATTTTTACTATACAAAAAAATTGGCAAAGGTATATTGGCACAGTCAATACTAAGCACAAGGGAATAGCAGAGACTTAGCAAGTGGGAAGCCAGAGACCAGAGACTCAACACCAGGATGCCAAGGAATAAAAGATCACTCCTGCTCTAGGGACCAAAGATACATTTATTTCATAATTAATAATATATAAACAGACTATATAAAAATGTTTTTCTTTGGAAGCCTACATTTTTACCTTAACTCTCTGATATAGTATGTGTCATTAACTAATATGTGATGTTACTTAACAAACTGTTAGAGCCTCATGTTCCTTATTTTTAAAGAAAAATAAATAAATTAAAATGAGACAATAATGCTTAACTCAGATAGTGATGGTTGAATAAGACAGTATAAGTTAAGCTGTTTAGCCCAGAACATGGATTCAAAAAATATTAGCTGGTAGTACTAATCATCATCAGTGTTGCTGTCTCCTTAAAATTAAGTGTGTTGGGGCGTCTGGGTGGCTCAGTCGATGAAGCATCTGCCTTCAGCTCAGGTCATGATCCCAGGGTCCTGGGATCGAGCCCTGCACTGAAGAGCCTGCTTCTCCCTCTGCCTCTCCCCCTGCTCATGCTTTCTCTCTCTCTCAAATAAATAAATAAAAATCTTAAAAAAAAATTAAGTGTGTTAATTTACCTCATGATTAAAACTAAGAAGGTTTTTATGATTCAGCAAAATGGTTGGGAAATGATTTCTTAGATGAGCAATCCATCTAAGATTTAAGCTGAAATCTGAACTCGAGGTAAAAGGAAATTTTACACCTAATCACTATGGTAGATTACTTGCAGAGATGGCAAAATAATTCCTTCCATCCCTATACATATATATATATATATATGTAAGTATATATACCCCCTTTGTAATGTGACTTTGCCACTCCTCCATGAAGTGTAGAATTTATTTTCCCATCTCTTACTTTGGAGTTGGCCTTGTGATTTGATAACAGAATGCAGCAGAAATGACAATGTGCAACTGTGGAGTTTAGGCTTCAAGAGACTCTGCAGCTCCCACTCCTGCTCTCTTGGAAGCCAGATGCTATGTAAAGAAGTTGGAATATCCTGCTGGAGACATATGCCCCAGCCAACAGCCACCACCACCATCTGGGCATGTGAGGGAGGATAGTTAGGCTACCCAGGCCCAATCAAACCATCAGATGACTAACATCTATGTGAATGACCCCAGGCAAGGCCAATAGAAGAATTGCCTGGTAAACCCAGCCAAATTGCTCACCCACAGAATCATGAGTAAATAAATAGCTACAATCTTAAGCCAGTAAATTTTTGGAGTGGTTTAGTATATGGCAACAGATACCTACGACAATCACCTGTTCGAATTATTATTATTGAGTACCATAAGCAAGGCACGAGGCTAGGTGCAGAAAGTAAGCCAAAATATGTAAAGTTTGGCTACTGTCTTGAAATAAGTTCATAATCTTTATCAGGAAGAAATAAAGTATTTAAATAACTATCACACAGGCAAGGGCGCCTGGGTGGCTCAGTTGGTTAAGCGACTGCCTTCGGCTCGGGTCATGATCCTGGAGTCTCGGGATCGAGTCCCGCATCGGGCTCCCTGCTCGGCAGGGAGTCTGCTTCTCCCTCTGACCCTCCTCCCTCTCATGCTCTCTGTCTCTCATTCTCTCTCTCTCTCAAATAAATAAATAAAATCTTTAAAAATAAATAAATAAATAAATAAATATCACACAGGCAATATGTTAAAAGAGCCAGAGAGTAACACAACCAAATTGTCATAAGAATTAAAAGATAGGATCGTTTCTGCAAGAGGTGATGAGGGAAGGATTTATCAAGAAGTTAACATTACAGGGGCACCTGGGTGGCTCAGTTGTTAAGCATCTGCCTTTGGCTCAGGTCATGATCCCAGGGTCCTAGGATCGAGCCCCACATCGGGCTCCCTGCTCCTCAGGAAGCCTGCTTCTCCCTCTCCCACTCCCCCTGCTTGTGTTCCCTCTCTCATTGTGCCTCTCCCTATCAAATAAATAAATAAAATCTTAAAAAAAAAAAAAAGTTAACATTACAGTTAAGCCATGAAGGATTCTGACAGTGGAAGTAGGAGGAGAAGCAATTCTAAGGGAAAGAAAAATGACCCGAGGATAACTGGTCCTAGGAAACAGCAAAGAATGTTTGGAAACTTGATAGTAATCCATTTTAGTGGATTATAGTGTATGTGTAGATGTGAGAGAACCATTCTTCAATCAATAAATATCAAGCAGCAACTTTATTCCAGGCACTGCCTACTACTCTGTTATTATGTAATAGATGTGAAAGCTGAGTCACTCAGTAGCCCAAGATCACAGAAAGTGGTAGAACAGGGATTTAAAGACAACCAGTCTGACTCCAGAGCCACTCTACTTTGAGCTGTGTCTTGGCAAAGTCAAAAAGTTATTCAAGGAAAAACGAAAACAAAACTGGCACCAAACTAAATATCCATCAACAGTTGAATGGTAAATTGTTGTAAATTCATATAGTGGAATACTACATAGCAGTGAAAATAAATGTACTATAGCTATACAAATCAACAAGGAGTTACTGCAAACACTTAACTATTGAGCAGAAGAAAGCTAATTAAGAATATATGTGGTATGGTTGCATTTGCATAAGGTAAAACCAGGCAAAACTACACAATATATTGTTTAGAAATACATATGTATATTGCAAAACTAAAACGAAAGGCAAAGGAACAAAAAGTACAAAATTCAGGACAGTGGCTTTCTCTAGGGAGGGAGAAATGAAATTGAGATTAGGGAGGGGCTCACAAAGTGCTTCAAGAAACTAGTTACATTAGTTTTTCTTAAACTGGATGCTGTTTGTTTCCTTATTTTTCTTTACACATATAAGTTATATACATCTTGTTTACATGATATATTTATAGATTTCACATAACAACAAGAAAAAGTACTATGGGCTTCAGGAACTGAAATTAATCAGATGTGACAGAGCGAGGACATTTCAAAATGAGAAACTGGCAGAAGCACAGAGGGAGGAAAAGGGTGGAGAGGAGTTGGAACAGGGGGCAGGTCATTTTTGCAATAATTTATGTTTGTAAGGGAAGTAGTGATGCGGGAAAGTTAGATAATGTTGTGGCCAGAATATGGAGATTTTTGGAAGCTGGCATGAATCATTCGCAAATCTCACTCTGTGAACAATGGGAACTTTGTATCAGGATTCCTTATTTTTAGGGAACAAGAAACAACTATGGCTAACCCAAGTAAAAGGAAAAAGAGAAGAAAGGAAAAAGGCGAGATAGATGGAGAAAGGGAGAGAGAACCAGAGAAATAGAGAAACAGATTGAATAGTTTATTGGATAGGCTACACTTTCAAGTGACCAGTCCAGGAACCTGGCAGCTCTGGGGATCTAAATGAGATGAATTGATAGACCAGCTCTTTAGAGCACTCAATTCCTAGTACCTTCTATCGCAGTGTGTCCATCCAAAATTTCAGTTTCTAGTAGAGTATATTAACCTCATGTTACCATCTCTGTGATCTGCTGGGTTCAGTGCTTGCAGCTCACTGGTATACAGGCAACAGAGGTGAGTGAGTAGTTCCCAAAGGAAGGGACATCCAATAGGTTAAAAAAAAAAAAAAAGGCCCAGTTTGGATTTTCAGTAAACTGTGGTATGATTACTGTACAAAACCTAGGAATGCCCCTATTCAAACTAATTAATTCTTCAAAATAGACATCTAAACACGTACTAACTAAACCTCTAGAATCGTTCACTTCGTTCCACTGAACTAACATTTTTGTTTTCGGCGACCTTACGTTTATGTGTCTCTACAATTGCTTCCCTCTCAGATAATAATTCCAGTAATTGGTCCCCATTACTTTTTTCTTTCCATTTATTCTTTTTAATACAAAATAGGATCATATCACACTGGTCTGTAATATTCTATTTTCATCTAACAATATATCATGGACACCTTTCTTTATCAGTACATACAGATCCACCTCATTCTTTTTAAATGCTCCACAGAATTACATACGGGTATTCCAAAATTCATTTAATCCTTTTCCTATTGATGGACATTGAGATTGTTTTCACGGTACCCATTACTTTTGAGATGGAAGTCAGATGAATCATCCTTTGCGGGAGACGGGCAGAAAATGCTGAAAGAAATATAAGAGCGATGACACTGCGAGATAGGAGCCCGGCGAACCAGACGAGCGACACCAAGCCGCAGCTGTCGCCGCCGTGAGTTGATGACCAAGATTCCCCGCTTAAGCAGCTCCCTGGGACAGCGTTGTCTGTAGAGCGAAGGATCCCTGAGGACGACGTAGCCGAACTGGACATTGGGAGTTGTAGTTCCGTAGGGAAGAGTCCGAGGGGCGGAGCTGCACATGCGCACTAGGAACTCAGGGCAACAAAGACGGCGGCGTGAGCGCGCGCGCCGGAGAAAGACATGGGCAGGCGTGCGCGTGCGCGGCCACCGCTCGGCGCTACCAGGAGGCTGAGAGGACACAGAGCGGGAGGGGCAGGAGCCACCGACCGCAGGAGGAGGAAAGGGGTTGTGCTCTTGGCCGAGCGTGGAGAAAGGGGCGGGGCCGGCGAGCAGCGCGTGGAGGTGCCGAGCTCCTGGGACCGGCGGGCGCGCGGGCGTCTCTGGCCTTCGCCGTCCCAGTGGCCGCCGCCGTCGCTTGGTCGCCGTCGGTCTGCGGGAGGCGGGTTATGGCGGCGGCGGCAGTGGGAGCTGTGAATGAATTCTCCGGGTGGACGAGGGAAGAAGAAAGGCTCCGGCGGCGGCAGCAGCCCGGTGCCTCCCAGGCCTCCGCCCCCCTGCCTGGCCCCCGCCCGTCCCGCCCCCAGACCGGCCCCCCAGCCCGAGTCGCCGCATAAGCGGAACCTGTACTACTTCTCCTACCCGCTGTGCATAGGCTTCGCGCTGCTGCGTTTGGTCGCTTTCCACCTGGGGCTCCTCTTCGTGTGGCTCTGCCAGCGCTTCTCCCGCGCCCTCATGGCCGCCAAGAGGAGCTCCCGGGCCGCGCCGGCGCCGGCCTCGGCCTCGCCCCCGGCGCCAGTGCCGGGCGGGGAGGCCGAGCGCGTCCGAGCCTTCCACAAACAGGCCTTCGAGTACATCTCCATTGCCCTGCGCATCGATGAAGACGAGAAAGGTAAGTGGGGGGCTGGAGGGAGGGGGCGGCGGCGCCGGGAAGAAAGCGGTGGGGTAGCCCAGGGAGGGCAACACCTGCGTCCCTTCGGGGGCGGTCGGTGCACCCCCGGAATTGATCTCCCCCCTCCCCCGCCGAGGCGGCTACACCGCAGTGAGACTCTCATCCTCTACGATTCTCAGTTAAACCTCTCCCCTTTCAGGCACCCTAGCTGTCGACTTTGTTTCAGACACCAGCCTTCCCCTACACTTCTGCATGACCCAAGTCCCTATGAGACAGCCAGTCGTGCTACTGACAGTGACAGTTGTCCTACAGTGACCACACGGATCCTTTCTAGCACTGTAAACAGTGTGTGGCTTCCTCTGAGCCAGGTTTCCAAAAGGTTTTGGTATCGGAGAAGCTGTGTCTTGTTATAGGCTTTTAATGAAAACAGAGTACTGTAGTGTCAGAAAAAAAGAAATGGTGACTTAATTTTGAAAGGAACAGCTGCATATGATTACAGCTAAATTGGCATTACTTTTTAAAGTTTCGTGACAGTCATTTTATCGATATAATGACTCCTTTTTTTTATAAAGTTCTATTTTAACATGAAACTTTTGTCCCTGTTAGATTTGATTTCATCTAAATCAGTATTCCAAGGTAGCCTCTTCGTTTCTCAATTGAAGTGTTAAATAATGAACAGGAAAAACTTACATCATTGTACATAAAACTTGAAACAAAGATTTGTATTTCTTTTATTTTTAAAGTTTATATTTCTGAATGAAGGCAAGAATACTGTATACTTCAGATCCTTTTAAACTAACATTTTTAAGTCATTCAGTGCACCAAGCGCTGTACTGTTAGCTTTGTATGTGTTCTCTATTTAATCCTCACAATTACCCTGTGAGGTGAAGGTACTGTTGGGATCAGCATTTTACAGATGAACAAACTGAGGCTCAAAAAATTAAAACAGGTCATTCCAAACCTATGCCAATTGCTAATGAACACTTTTTTATGGAAGATGAGAACTAAAGTTAGAAGAAGTCTTGCAACATTTTGAAAATCCCTCCTTTCATCCCTGCCTCCAATATGCAGAGATCTTCTTTTTCCTGTGACTCCCAAAGAACATTTTTGTGTCACACTTCAATTAGGTACTCACTTGCATTGTCAATTAGCCAAAAAAAAAAAAAACCCAACAAAGCAATCTGCAGGTCATTTGTAGTATCTCTTAGCACTGTCAACTGCAGAAACTGTTACAGAATTTAGTTTTGTTGAAACCTATTTCCTCTGTGGAGCCAAGGAGTGAGGAGTATGATATAAGGAAAGAGGCAGGTATTCATGGTTTTGATTGTAAGGACAGTGGAGTTTAAAAGAGTTCTAGGAAGGGGGTACCTGGCTGGCTCAGTCGGTGGAACGTGCGGCTCTTGATCTTGGGGTTGTGAGTTCAAGCCCCACGTTGGGTGTGGAGATTACTTTTAAAAAAATCTATATAAAAAGAGAGTTCTAGGAAAGAGTTCTATTTAAGAAAAAAATACCATGTTTTTGTGGTCAGAAGTATTTTAACTGCTTCATTCTGTACCACCTCTTGGAACATCCAAGGATCCCTGGTAAGGGTGGATAAGAGTACCATCATCCCTTCCTAGAGAAGCACTGTTTGAGTGCACTATCCAATTATAGTAGGGTCCTCAGAAGTTTACTAATCTAGGTCAAAAGATGTTTTAGAATAGAGGGAATATGTTTAAGGGTAGATTTTGTTGTATTTAGGAAGAGAATGCTAGAAAACACAAGGAAATTTTATTTAACACTGGGTGATGGGAGTTGGGAGGTAGAATAAGAGAAGACAAGCATAACCTAGGGATTAAAAAAAAAGACCCGAGGCTCTTAGATTTAAAGAGAAATCAGTTCCGTAAGGAGGGATAAGTGACAGAAGTAGAAATCAGACCTTGGGTTTCAAACTTATGACTTATTTTAGAGTATTACTATATGACTACATCTATTATATTTAAATCCTCTAAAATATTTTTAAGTATAAATATTTTCAGCAATCCATGGATCACATACTTGACCCTCTTTCTACTGATGTCTCTATTCAAAGTTTTTTGCTTTATTTATAGTTTAGTTTCTAAAGTAGACATCAGAATGGACTATGATAACTTTTTAGTTGGGGTTATACAACTGATGTATGATATGCTGAAACTAGTTCAAACTGAAACAAATGAGTTAAATATTCATTTTCCTTTAAAAATGAATTAAAAGCTAAGTTTATATTGTCATAGTTCTCTTCTCATATTTTTCCTTTAGAATATTCAAACTTTTTGTACCTTAGCCTTAATCCAGTAGCTGTAAGAGTTTATATTTAGTCTATTTATCTCTCAGCCATCCTTGACAATGTAGAATAAGAGAATTTTATTCTCCTTCTTTCCCGCTGCGTCAGAATATATATGAATGAATAGAAACGAATTGTCTTTAAAGCAGTCTTCAAAGGTTTCCTAACTTTGTGGTAAACCATTAAGGGGCTAGTAATGTCATGCACTGCCATTCCCTTAGTAACTTGACTTCAATTCTAACTATACTGAAAGCCACTTTATTTCATCGGGTAAAGTGGACTATTTCAGACTGTCATGTTGTTAATTAATTGGAACATTTGATGCCTTGAAATAATAAAGGCCAAATTAAATCTTATTTCAATAAAATAGTGTATAAATGTGGTTTATATGGCGACTATTTATTCTGTATTTTATTCTTACGGCATACTCAGCTTTGACACTGAATTTTTTAAAAGGCCTAAATTTGTCTGAAACCAAACTATTTTAAATAAAGAAGAATAACACAGCAAATTCTAATTACCTAATGTAAGGATATTTGAGTTCTGTTCATTAAAACAGGCATTTATTGGATACCAGTTTATTTGCAAGGCTTTATGCATTCTAGATGCTGCTTAAGAAAAACTCACTTCCTCTCCAGTAAGATACAAGACAGCATTTGCTATGTGATCATTAAAATATGTGTATGTTTTCATGCATATTATATGTCTCATTTTTTTCAAAGAGTTAAATAATTTTTTGTATATTTAATTGTTGAACATCCCTGGAAAACTGATAACCTTTTATATCCATTATATGTATGGAGAAACTGATATTTAAAGAGTGAACTCACATTAGCAGAACCAGGTGAACAGAAAATTATGCCACTCATAATTTTATACTTTTTGCTTTAAGCAGGTTTTCGGTTTTGTAATGTTAGTACTGGGCCTCTTGGAAATACTTGGGGGAAAAGAGGAGGTTGTCATAGTGGGTCTTTGGATTAACCAGAACATGACCTAACATGTTTGGCATGGCTCCTGCAAGTAGACAAGCCTGAGATCTCCTGGGCAATACAGTGGTGCAGGTTTTCTAGGTGTGGTTTGATTACCTGGAGTATATAGAACTTGACAGTAAGGGCCCAGTAAGTTGTATGAACGAGAGAGAGCCAGTTTCTCAGGCTTGTAGGGCTGAAGAACCTGGCATCAAGGACAGAAATTGTCTAAATAGAATCCTTTTATATTTATTCCTCTTCAGCTCATATTTAAAACATTAGGCTTTTAAAATATTGTCATATAATTTTGTATTACCATGTAACTCAACTCTCTCACTGTGTCTCTGTCAAATAAATAAATAAAATCTTAAAAAAAAACCAAAACTGCTAAGTCACCATTTTGAAAGGATTGATTTCAGACAATTTTCTTGGGCCTAATGATTCTGCTTTAAAGTTTCCATGATTACAACAAGGAAAGAATTATTCTGATGGATGGATATTTACATAATATCACTCTTTCCCAAAAGAAAAGCGTTACCTTTTATTAAATACACAATAAACGTTTCCCATTTCTCTTCAAGAATATTTAGTGGCGGGGCGCCTGGGTGGCTCAGTCGTTAAGCGTCTGCCTTCAGCTCAGGTCATGATCCCAGGGTCCTGGGATCGAGCCCCACATCAGGCTCCCTGCTCAGCGGGAAGCCTGCTTCCCCTCTCCTACCCCCCTGCTTGTGTTCCCTCTCTTGCTGTGTCTTTCTATGTCAAATAAATAAATAAAATCTTAAAAAAAAAAAAGAATAAAAGAATATTTAGTGGCATTTGCACTAAAGAGACAAAAAGGTAGCCACTGTTAGGAACTTTATCCTTTGCTCTGTTTTT